CACACACACACACACTGCCCTGACCGTCGGCTGACAGAATTGGCGTAGTCGGCAGGATTGTGCTATTGGTTCAAATACAGCAGCATGAAGCCAGTCATGATTGACATGGATTTTAGCTGTATAGAAAAGGAGTTTGCCCGAGAGGGATGGGGCAACCCTAAGTGGGATAAAGAGATGTTAGGGAAAGGCGCTTGCATCTGGCTGTTAAAGGGTGTGTGGCAAGCAGCCTGCTCTAGCTACTGGAACTTAGAAACAGAGCTGATAAGGGTGCAAAGAGAGAGATACGAACTCTTGGAGCAATGCCAGAACCTGGATACCCGGGTGCGAACCCTAAATAAGGACATGGAGCACCTACAGGAACGGCTCCTCCTGAGGCTAGAGAGGGGAAGCAGAAAGTAATTAATGGAGAAAAATGAGCTTTTGGAGCTGGCTTTAGAACGTTGCTGGCTCAAACACCCGCTCTCCTGCCTTCCATTGTAACCAAGATAAAACAGTACAGCATTCCAGCCGAAGCTATGGCTCCGGTTTGTAAACTAATTAAAGATCTGGAAAAACGGGGAATCTTAATTTGTACCTACTCCCCGTATAATTTGCTCAGGAAGCATGCTCACTGGAAATGAGCCCCCCCTCTCATAAGAAAGCTCTGAAAGACAGCTGATAACAAAATACGCACTTATCAGTGTATGGGTTCAATTTACCCTAATGGGTCCCATTTCATTTGTACCTTACTGTAAAAAACACAGGGATGTCCTATGCCTTATGGCAAAAAGGAAAAACTGTACCCTGCCGCCCCATACAGTTTGGCTCGAAGTTATGGCAGGGATCACAGTTAAATTACACGCTTTATAAAAAGTGCTTTTAACAGCCTACACAGCACTAAGAAAAACAAAGGAGCTAACCCAAGCTCAAGCCATAACACTTCACACTCCTCTCCCAATCATTAAGCCCATATTGAAGGGAAAGGAGTTGCCACCGAAAATAGCCCAAAAAAAATAACTGTCCAAAGATAAGCGCTCTATTTACACTACAGACTTTGCTGCAGCATAAATGTTATAAAAACCCTATGCTAAAAAGTTTAAAATTAGTAATAGCTAACTGCAATAACACACAGTCAAATTTACCTACTAAAAGAAATCAGGAGGTGTGGAGCTAATTAAAAAGCCCACCCTCCTTACCAAATTAATACTAAACAAACCTGTGTCATTAAAAAAAGTCATTTAGCAAAAATCAGGATGTATCAGAAAAGAAAAAAGCATGTAAAAGTAAAAAGCAAACTCCAAGGGAGTGTAAAAAAAATTAAGCAATTGTAATATGTAAAGGAAAACCTGCTTTAAAAATAACACCTTGTTTCTTTAAAGCCTCTTCTCTTTCTTAAGCACTGTGCAAACCATCTAGGCAAAAAAAAAAAAACAATCAAATGTAAACATTTGTCTACAAACACTTTGTTAAATCTGCAAAAAAAAAAATTAAGAATTCTACTAAAACTTAATTGGTTAACTGCATAAAAAAATAAGCTCTATATATTGTAACTTTATTTTGTGGGTTTCAAATAAACTAGTTTTATTTTGTTTTGGATTATGTCCTCTTGCTTAAAATTGCAAACAAACAAAGCACAAATTAGTTAGTGCTTGTGTTAGGCATTCAACTTTTACGGTTAAATTTGCTCTCTCAAAAAACCAAGTTATTGTTTTAAAAATCCAAACTCTAAAACTTCACTGTGTCTATGTTCAAGGCTAAGTTAATAACACTTTTAGCTTGCTCTCAAATCCAAGGTTGTAAGTAAGTGCAAACTGCCTTTCTGTTCTGAAGAGGTGTAAAACTAACTGTCCCTCATAAGTAAGCCTGTAACATTGTACATATAATTCTTTTTAGAAAAATAAAATCTTTTTGCTTGCAGGAACAGTAACTGGCCAACCAACACCTTCTGCTAAAAAAAAGCATTATAGCCTCACACATTGGCTGTGTCTACACTGGGACGCTTATTTTGGAAAATCAGCCGCTTTTCCGGAATAAGCTGCGAGCTGTCTACACGGACCCTTGAATTTCCGGAATAGCAACGATGCTCTACTGTACAAAATCAGCCGCTATTCTGGAAAAACTATTCTGCTCCCGCTCGGGCATAAGTCCTTATTCTGGAACTCATTTCCGGAAAAGGGCCAATGTAGACAGCCCAGTAGTCTTTTCCGGAAAAGCGCGTCTACATTGGCCACAGACGCTTTTCCGGAAAAAGGGCTTTTCTGGAAAAGCAGCCTGCCAATGTAGACACTCCTTTTCCGGAAAAACTGAAAACGGAATAGTATTCCGTTTTAAGCATTTCTGGAAATTCATGCCAGTGTAGACACGGCCACTAAGCCTAATCTGTGGTACAAAAAAAAAAAAACTAAGGCATGCCACTATTGGGGAAGGCTAGCAACTCAAAGGTAATTCAAGGAAGTGAAAGGTCACAAGTACCGATAAAGCACCCT